CTTGTGACACTCTTTGAGGTCCCTTGGTTCTGCTGTGGCCCTTAGCCTTTCACTTCGCCAAGATTCCTCCAATTCTTAGAATCAGGACACTCGGGAGTATAGGAATCCTATGGGTGAATCACTTTCCCTAAATATGAAACTGCTAACTCCCCTTGTCCTCGTTCTATACATGTACAACCTCCCTTGGGATGGAAAGCTTTTATGAAACCTAATAATAATCTCTGATGGGGGAGGAGGTTAAGGGACTCCATTAATTTGTGCTCTTGTCTTTCATCCCATTGGATAATGAACTTTCGGAAAGCAAGGCTATAGTTATATCTATTTGTAGGTTTTTGATGTCTAACACAGTGCCTTGCAAACAATAGGCATTTAATAAATATTTGTTGAATTGTTGAAGATGAAATACAAGAATTACACAGAATGAATTATAACCCTCGTCAGTAGAGGAAGTGCCCAGATGATGAGAGCACAGATCCGTATTCCCTGGAAGAAGCAACAAGATCCTGATATCTTCCAGTGGGAATGATGATGATGATGATGATGATGATGATGATGATGACAACAAGAATATCACACTATTATATTATAACTTATAATAATAATAACTAGCATTTATATTGTGCTTTAAAGTTTGTTAATATTACAAATATTGTTTCATTTTATCTTCACAATAACCTGGAAAGTAGGTGCTATTATTATGCACATTTTACAGCTGAGGAAACTGAAGCAGATAAGGGTTAAGTGATTTTTCCAGGGTCATACAACTAGTAGATAAGTCTGGGGCCACATTTGAACTCGGGTCTTCCTGATTCCAGGCTCCACTGCTCCATCTCGTGGCCACAAGAGAAAAGAGAAGTTAACAATGTCTATCAGATAATTCCTATTAGCAGAGAAATAAAGAGGCCTTTGGTAGCTCACACAAGTTCACTTTCCTCCATTAAACTATTTTGATTTTATTTAATTTAACAATCCTGAAAATTTTGGATTGGTACCCAATACTCAACACTTTTGCACAACGTTAAAAAGAAATGTGTTTGCACTAACCACACACCTATAGAGGTGGACTGTGTTTCTTGAATCACATAAAGTGCCTTATAATTTAAATTGAATATTTAGAGGTATTTTAAACTAATGCACCTACAGGAGGTAGATTTTTTTATTAGCCATATAATTTTACCGGTTAACTAATGTTCTTTTCTAGATGAATAAACTAACCTCAAGTGAAACAATTCCTTCTCCTTTGGTCAGGGCTGTAAGATTGGTGCATTACCCAGTCAATATTTGATCTAAGGAGCAGCTAGGTGGCGCACTGGATAAAGCACCAGGTGTGGAGTCAGGAAGACTCATCTTCCTGAGTTCAAATCTGTCCTCAGACACTTCCTAGTTATGTGACCCTGGGCAAGTCACTCAACCCTGTTTGCCTCAGTTTCTTTATCTGTCAAATGAGCTGGAGAAGGAAATTGCAAACCACTCCAGTATCTGTGCCAAGAAAACCTCAAATGGGATCATGAAGAGTTGGGCATGACTGAACAACATTCAATCTAAGTCATATATCCTTAAATGACTATGCAATATTTCTGCATTATTATTTTAGGAAAAGAAAAATCATTTCCTTTGATCAAATGACCTACTTCCCATCCACCACTGTGCAGGATAGGGCTAGATTTCATATCATCTAGTGTTTTCATTTGGCTTATCATCCACTTCATCAGGTTTCACAACTGACTTCTAAAATGACTAGCTTCAATTTTTGGCCTCTGCCCTCACTAAATGGAGCAATTTCCTTGCAGAATCACTGTTGCCTGCAGTCATTATCAGCTTACAGGGGGAGTAGTTCTTCAGTTGTATGCTTCTTTTTTAAAAAAAAATCTTTTCTTTTATTTTAGATTAACAAGTATTTATTTTCTCTCTCCCAACTTCTTCCCTTCCTCCCCGATGATGGGTGGAGGGAGAGCCCTTATAACAAAAAAGCATAGACAAGAAAAATTCCTACTTTATTTACATCCAAAAATGTATGTTTCATTCTCCATCTTGGGTCTATCACCTCTCTATCAGGAGACTTCATCACTGGTCTTTTGGAATTGTGATTGGCCAATGCACTGATAAGAGTTCTTAAATCTTTCAAAGATGCTTGTCTTTACAGTACTGTCATTGTTGCATAAATGTTTCTCTTGGTTCTTCTCACTTCACTCTGCATTGGTTCATACAAGTTTTCCTAGGTGCCTGTGAAATTATGTTTATGAAATTATTCATATGCTATAATATGTTTAGCCATTCCCCAAAGTAAGGACGATCCTTTAATTTCTAAGGTTTGTTGCCACTATAAAAAGAGCTGCTACAAATATTTTTGTCCATATGAGTCCTCTCAGAATTCCTGGTTGGAGAAACTGGAGCCTGGGGCCAAGATGAACCTAAGGAGTCAGTGTAGATGGAGTCCTCTTCACTCCATTTGCTGCTCTTCTCTCTTTATTATCTAATAGGTCAAATTTTTTGGGCAACAAACTTAAATTAGGATTGGGATCTGACCTGTCTTATACAGAAAGTAGCAAGTATGTCAGCTTGACTGGAACACAGAATGCATGTGAGGGAACAATTTAATGAAGACTAAAATGATTGGTTGTAGCCAGATTAGGAAGCGTTTTAAATGCCATACAGAGAAACTTGTATTTGATCCTAAAGGCAACAGGGAGCTCTCTTAACTATTCAAATAGATCTGTGATTTCATTGATTCAGGAGTTCCTTCCAATGATACAGAATCACAACAAATCCATATCTACCCATCTTATGTGACTCTTCTCTGTGTCCTCTCAAATGTTCACCAGTGAGGGTCAACCCTATTTGCTGGAGGCATTTCTCACTGTTTCCCATCTCAAGGGAATGAGTGGAATACTAGTGGGTCATCCACCTGTCATTGTTCATTCTCACCATGTGGCCAGCCCATCTTTTGGTTCTGTCTACAATTCTGGGATGACATCCTTCATTCCTGTTCTTTGTGGTTCTTTATTGAAGTTTTTTGAGCAGGGGAGTGACATGTTCAGACTTTGCTCTAAGAATATTAATGTTCTTGGCTACATTTATTTTATTTGTATAAAAACTTTTTAATTTAATGTAATCAAAATTATCCATTTTGTACCTCACTCTGTTCTCTACCTCTTGTTTATTCATAAATTGTTCACCTATCCATAAATCTGTCAAATACAAGGTTATTATATTTATTTACTGCTGTCTACTTTGTCTACTTTGTTCCAAGTAAAATGAGCAGAACAAAGAAAGTGTTATATACAGTAACAGCAATATTATTTTAAGAACAACTTTGAGTGACTAAGTAATTTTGACTACTATAAATACCCAAATTAACTACAAAGGACATATGAAGGACGACGCTATCTTTATCCAGAAAAAAACTGATAAATAGATGTATAGAATGGTTTTACATATATAATATGTATATATATATACATATACAATAGTTTTACACATATACATATATTATGTCTAATGGCAACCATCTCTAAGGTACACAGGAGAGGAAAAAAGAAGGGGAAGGAAATTTATATGATAACTTTATTATATATTTAAAAGCAATAGCAAATTGTACATAATAGATTTGCAGTTGCATGTGCAATCATCTTTTTTTATTCTACTACATTACGGAAATGCTTGTTTTATTTCATAAATTGAAAAAATAAATTAAAAAATTTAAAGTATATTAATGTTGCAACAATGTGGAGAATTGTAAAGGATGGATTAGAGAGAGAAGAGATCAGTAAGGAAGCTATTAGAACAGACCAGCTAACAGTTGATTAGGACCTGGAAATAATGAAGGTAAAGAAGGGAACAAATGTGAAAGATTTTATAAAGGAATGATACTGGAAGAGCTCTAAAAAAAAAAAAGATCTGGCACCGTCTGCTGGAAATTGAGGAGAATTTAAGGCAGAATTAACAAGTTAGATATACTCTAGGCTTGTTAGGTGGTACCCAGAATGACCAAGAGGGACACTGACTTAAATCACTAGCAAATACTAGGATTATTTATTAAAGGAAGTATTTGTCTATATCTTTAAAGAGAAATGATAATCACTGTAATCTACCATAGCTTAGTCAAGAATGGGTCATGCCATCATCTCATTTTCCTTTTTTAGGCTTAATAGACAGGTAGATCAGGAAAATGGTACATTCATATTAAATGTATATAACCTATGGCTCAAAGTCCATTTGCATAAAATTATCTTCATTGGTGGAGACTGAGGGAAGCAGGAGATTGGAACCACAAGCTTGACCATTCTGCTTTCCTTGGAGAAAGAGTACTAGTAGTAGAGTTATATATATATACTCCTTTAAATATTGTTAGCCTATTAATGATTTAAATAATTCAAGTTATGCTCTTGATTGCTAATTCTTAGTGGGGGAACATATGCCACAATTTATATATCCAAGGCTTGACTCCTTTCCTACCAAAAGCCAGTTCCATAATGAACACAGCAAATAGCAAATAAATTCATATATCGGAGTTAACAGCAAAACAGAAATCAGAGACGGTATACATATGAGAATATACCAGATAATACAGAGGGAATGAGCTCTCCTATTGGGAGTGAGATAACTCAGTTCAACTAAGAGTCTCAGATCTCACCCAAGAGGAAATTTCCCAGTCTCTAGTGTAGTAAGCTGGGGATAGGGAAATGACCAAACTTCTCTATATGTTGGCTTTTTCCCAGAGTCTTTCTCTCCCTTCTGAGACCTGAAGAGAGTATGAAATGGTATTACTTCTCTCTCAAAGTTGGAAGCCAGAAAACCAAGATCACTCTTATCTCAAGCTCTCACCAACTCTCTCTTCATTCAGGCACAGAGCATTGAATAATCAATCTCTACCAATAAGGAGAGTTTTGTGCAAGTAACCTTTAAATGACGGGTTATACAGATTTCATCTGTAAAATTGAGTTAATTTCACAATGATATATTTTCAAAATTAATTTATTTATTTTTAGTTTTCAACATTCAAAAATATGGAACGCTTCATGAATTTGCATGTCATCCTTGCACAGGGGGCATGCTAACCTTCTCTGTATCATTCTGATTTAGTATATGTGCTGCCGAAGTGAGCACCTCAATGATATATTTTAAGAAGCACACTGAAAACTTGGAGAAGGGCCAGAGAGTAAGGTGACCAGGTTGGTATGGAATCTCCAGTCTGTACCATGAAGGAACTAGGAAGACTTTGAAGGAAAATGATAACTATCTTCAAATATGTGAAAGGTTTTCATATGAAAGACAAATTCAACTTATTCTTCTTGGTGCCAAAGGGTAGGAGAAATAGGCAAAAGTTGCTGAGAGGAAGATTTAGGATTGATGTAAGAAAAAAATCCTCATTAACAATCAGAATTATCCAAAAGTTGAATGGGCTGCCTCAAGACATATTCTCCTCTACTAGAAGTCTTCAAGAGAAAATTTGATGAGTATTTGTAGAAGGCAGTGTACCGACCTAATTCTTCATCAGTTCTGGGTTGGACCAGATGGCCTCTGAGATCCCTTCTAATTCTATGTTTTTTCAAAGTTCTCATTATTTTGCTAGATACTATTCCAACAATATTACATCAATTTACATTTTCACTAGGATTCTAATAGCATATGTTTCCTCACAGTTCTGTCAATGTTGAATTTTATATTTTTCAAATTTGATAAGTTTATAAAATGCCAATTCAAAGTAGTTTTAATTTGCATACAATCTCTGAAGCACCAAAATTGTGTATTACCCAAAAGGCAGTGGAGATGTGCACAGTGATGGGCTTGAGTAGGCTGCAACTCGTTACAATACAAGTAAGCAGTAATATCATTAATCAGTCAGTTGACAAGCATTTATTAAGCACTTCCTATGTACCAGACACTATGCTAAGCACTTGGGATACAAATACAAGCGGAAAAAAAAAGACAGTCCTTGCCCTAAAAGATCTTACATTCTAGGGGGGAAGACAACACATACAAAGGGAAGTAAAAAGGATGGATGGAGAAGAAGGTACCCATATGGGGGCATGGTGGCTAAATCTGGAGAATGAGGGGTGGCTGGTCTGGGGCTTTTCCTAAAAATGGAGGTATAAAAAAGTCATCAAAGGAATGTATGAGTAAAATTTTTTTTTTAAAAAGATAGGCTCCTAGGTGGTGCAGTGGATAGAGCTCCGGCCTTAGAGTCAGGAGAACCTAAGTTCAAATCTAGCCTCAGACACTCCACACTTACTAGCTGTGTGACTCTGGGCAAATCACTTAACCCCATTGCCTCACCAAAAAGAAAAAAAAAAGATAGGCTGATCACATGGTAAGAGTAAAAGATCAATGATGGACAGTGTGTGTGCTCCATTGGCAGCCTCACAATATCAAAATAAAGCAAGGAAAGTTCCTGCCCTCAACCTCTGCCTAGCATATTCAGTAGATCCCCTGTGATAAACTTAAAAGAGACCATGGAAAAGAGTTGTACAGGATGTGTAGGCATGGAGAAGTTACAGCTTTCGTGATTGGAAGGAGCATATAAATTAGTGAGATCACAGTTCTATTTGAGTATTTCCATATTCTCTAATTATAGAGCCTAAGCAGTTTTTGAATGACTATAAATAATTTGCACTCCTTTCTTGGAGAATTGGATGTTTCTACTTTACCATTTATCTTTAAGAAGCTGCTGTTAATCTTGTACATTTGTATTAGTTTCTTATAGACTCTGGTCACCAAAATTTTATTAGATATCTTTATCCCCAAAACCATTTCCCAGTTTGTTTTTTTATTGCTCTTCAAAACATTTTATTTTCATGTAATCAAATCCACTACGTGGCCGATATCTTCCATTTGTTGAATAAGAATTGATCTTCCCCAGACAAATAAGATAAATATAAAATTCCTTTTTCTTCCATTCTTTTCAATATTTAGATTATTGATCTAATTGGAATGTACTGTGGCTTATGGTGCAAGGCATGGGTCTAAATCTATTTTCATTCAGCTGTTATCCAATTTTTCCAATAGTTATTGAATAACGTTCCTTTCTCAGTTTTGTAATCTTGAGTTTAACAAATGCTAATCTATTGTATGCCTTTCTTGTGTTTTCTTTCATTTCTCCACATTTCTTTGCCTCAACTACCATCTTTTCACACTTTACTAACTTTCATACTTTATACTTTCATATTTTACCAACTACCAAGACTACCATCTTTTCATACTGAAACTTGTGCAATCTTTACATCTTCTTCATTGATTGTTAATTCATCTTTTTCATTTTTCATACTGGTAATTTGGTTTTCTCCTTTCTTTTCTTAATAAAATTAGCTAATGGATTATCTGTTTGTTTTTTTAAATAGCTCCTGGTTTTATTTATTAATTCAATTTTTTAATTTAAATTTTGTTAATCTCTCCTTTGCTTTTCCAGATTTCTATTTTGGTGTTTAATTGGGAGTTTTTAATTGGTTGGTTTTCTAGTTTTATTTGGTTGCACGCCCAATTCATTGATCTGTTCTTTCTCTCTTTTACTGATGAAAGAGTTTAAAGATAAGAAGTTCCCCGATTACTGCTTTTGCCACATCCCAAAAGTTTTGGTGTATTGTTTTATTGTCATTATTTTTAATGAAATTATTGATTCTTTTTATAATTTGTTTTTTGACCCACCCATTCTTTTGTATTAAGTTATTTAGTTTCCAACTAATTTTTAATCTTTCTGTCTTTTCATTGAATGTAATTTTTATTGCGTTACGGTCAGCAAAACATTCTGCTTCTCTGCATTTGTCTGTGAGGTTTTTATGCCCCAATAATGGTCAATTTTTATGAAAGTGCCATGTACAGTTGAGAATAGGCATATTCATTTCTATTCCCATTCAATGTTCTCCAAAGGGCTAGCATATTTAACTTTTCTAAAATTCTATTTAGGTCCTTAACTTCTTTTCTGTTTATTTTTGGTTCAATTAACTAGATCTCAGATGTGTAAATTGAGATTCACAAATATTATAGTTTTGGGGGCAGCTAAGTGGTGCAATGGATAGAGCACCAGGCCTAGAGTCAAGAAGACTCATCTTCATTGAGTTCAAATCTGACCTCAAACACTTACTAGCTGTGAGACCCTGGACAAGTCACTTCACACTGTTTGCCTCAGCTTCCCCTTGAGCTGGAGAAGGAAATGGCAAACCACTGCAGTATCTTTGCAAAGAAAACCCCAAATGGGGTCATAAATAGTGGGACACAACTGAAAATAAAACAATAACAACATTATAGTTTTACTCTCTTTTTCTTCCTTTCTTCATTTAACTCCTCCTTTAAGAATTTAAATGCTACACCATTTGGTTTACATATATTTAGTAACAATATTAATTCATTGTCTTTGATAGCTTTTAGGAAAATGCAGTTTTCTTGCTTATCTAATTAGGTCTAGTTTTGCTCTTGCTTTGTCTGAAGTCATGATTGTTACCCCTGCCTTTTTTACATTCTGCTCCACCCCTCTGGCCCTTTATTTTAGCTCTGTGTTTATTTTTCTGTCTCAAGTATGTTTCTTGTAAACAACATATTGTTGGATTCTGGTTTCTAATCCATTCTTCTATCTTCTTCCATTTTATGGGTGAGTTCATCCCATTCCCATTCACAGTTAAGATTACTTGCTGTAAATTAGCTTTCATCCCATTCTCTTATCTTTCTCTTTTCCCCCCTCTTTAATAGTCTCTTTTGTATACCTTTCCTTCCTAGTTCCATGTTAGGTAAAATGTATTTCTGTATCCAACAATGTGTATTCTTTCATCCTTTAACCAGTTAAGATGAGAATGAGGTTCAAGTGTCATCTACTGCGATTCTACTATCCCTTGCTTGTTGTATAATGTCATTTTTTGGTGAGATAATTTTCCCCATTCTTCTTCTCCCTTTCCCACTCTCTCAGTGAATTCTTCTCCCCCATTCATTCCATTTTTTTTTGAGATCATCTAACCACAACAGAATTACACACAGGCCCTCTGTCTGATTAGATTCTCTTTATGACTTCTGATGATGATAAATTTCTGAATGGTTACAAGAATCATTTCTCCATATAAGACTGTAAATTGTTCAACCTTCTTTAGTCCCTTAAGATTTCTCATTCATCTTTACCTTTTTATGCTTCACCTCACTCCTGAATTTGTATTTCATATTCTCTACTCAGCTCTGATCATCTCATCAGGAATTTTTGGATGTCCTTTATTTCATTAAAGATCTATTTTTCCCCTATAGGATGATACTCAGTTTTGCTGGGTAGGTTATTCTTTGCTATAAGCCTAGATCCTCTTCTTTCTAGAATATCATATTCTAAGCTCTCTTAATCTTTATAGTAGTGGTTGCTAAATCTTGTGTTATCTTGATTATGGCTACTCAGTACCTGAATTCTTTCTTTGCAGCTGCTTGCAGTATTTTTTTCTTCACTTGGGTGTTCTTTTGCCTATAAATATTCCTGGGACTTTTCGTTTTAGGGTTTCCTCCAGAAGGTGACTAGTGGATTCTTTAAATTTCTACTTTTCTCTGTGGTTACAAGATAGCTGGACAGTTTTCTGACAGCATCTATCTTTAGGGTTCTTCTGACAATTTCACAGCAGTATTAGCTATTTTTTTGTTTTATTATTTTTTTCTTACTTGTATTTTATTTTTTCCAATTACCTGTAAAGATAGTTTTCAACATTCATTTTTGGAAAATTTTGAGTCCCAAATTTTTCTTCCTCCCTCTCTCCCCTCACCCCTCCCAAAGATAGCAAGCAATCTGATTTGGTTATACACATACAATCATGTTAAATATATTTCCACATTAGTCATTTTGTGAAAGAACAATCAGAACAAAAGGGAAAAACCTCAAGAAAGAAAAAACAAAAAAGTGAAAATACTATGCTTTGATATGCATTCAGACTCCATAGTTCTTTCTCTGGATGTGGTTAGCATTTTCCATCATGAATCTTTTGGAATTGTCTTAGATCATTGTATTGCTGAGAAGAGCTAAGTCTATCACAGTTAATCATTGCACAATGTTGCTGCTGCTGTATACAATGTTCTCCTGGTTCTGCTCACTTAACTCAGGATCAGTTCATGTAAGTCTTTCCAGGTTTTTCTGAAATCTGCCTGCTCATCATTTC